CCCATCCAACCTCGCTTGGCCAAACTGTTATTGTACCCTTTGAGGACACATCTATTCCCCTTTTGTAGTAGTTTTTCATATTTCAGAAGTCAAATCTGGGACAACTGAGGATGACCTTACAATGAAACTATCGGAAATTATTCTAATTAATGATGTGCTACAGAAATATAAGAAAGATGGTGCTCCCATAAAAGCACTCAATGAAGCATGGGATCAGTTACAGGTCAGCTGGTTGATCTGATTAACTTTTAGTGTTTGAGTGTTTTTTCTTTACAGATACATGTTGCCTTGTATCTCAACAGCGAACTATCTGGTCTTCCTCTTGAACAGCGGCCCAAAAAGGTTTTTATCCCTGAGATTTTTAGAAATACTGATTGTAGGTGAGGTAAAAATTTTCAGCCACTACGTGGACTTGCCCAACGCTTAAAGGGCAAACATGGCCGTTTTCGTGAAAACTTATCTGGGAAGCGAGTGGACTTCTCTGCAAGAACGGTGGTTATTTTATAAGTTTTTTAATGTTTGTATTTTGCTTACTCAGTCTATTTTTAAGGTCATCTCGCCCGATCCTAACCTGCAAATCGACGAAGTAGGGGTCCCTCTTCATATTGCGCTTACCTTGACGTTCCCTGAAATTGTAAATGAATACAATATCGAGCGTATGAAGATGTTGGTTAGGAATGGAACAGATATCCATCCTGGCGCAAATTATGTTGTAGACCGTTCAACGGGGATCAAAAGACTGTTAAAGTAAGTAACTTTGGCATGAAGTTTATAAGGACATGGTTGAAAAAAGAGGGATATTTCCTCTTTCACTCCACTCAAAAAATCCATTCATTCATTCTTATTCATCCGTTTATTCACTCGTTTATCCAATCATCTATTCATTCATACATTTGATAATTAAGTTTAGATATGGAAATCGTGAATTATGTGCATCAAATTTGAAGATCGGAGATATTGTCGAACGACACCTAGACGATGGTGATATTGTACTGTTCAATCGGCAACCTTCTTTGCATAAAATTTCAATAATGTGTCACCGTGCCCGAATCTTACCGGGTAGAACATTCAGGTGAGTTTTGAGCTTTCCATACCTCAAAAATTGTTTCCCTCTATATGGCGTAATCTAGATTCAACGAATGCGTGTGTACCCCATATAATGCAGATTTTGATGGGGATGAAATGAATTTGCATGTGCCACAGACTTATGAAGCACGAGCAGAGGCTAATATCCTCATGGGTGTAAAAAACAACCTGGTTACTCCACGCTCTGGGGAACCCCTGGTTGCTGCTATTCAGGTAAGCTCTGAACCGTGCCAAAACTTTCA